GGAGAGAGAGAATCCCAAGCAGACTCCTCATTGTCAGCACAGAGCCTGACGCAGGGTTCAATCTCACAAATCATGAGATCATGACCTGAGCAAAAATCAAGAGTCGGACACTTAACCAACTAAGCCACTGCTCCTGATCAATTTCTCTTCCTAATACAAATGAAAATATCCTCAAAAAAATCCTAGCAAACTAAATCCAGCAACATATCAATGGGATCATAAATCAGGATCATGTGGGATTTATCTCAAGAATGCAAATTTAGCTTAAGATCTAAAAATAAATTTATGTAACACATTAATTAAAAGATACACATTACATGATATGAATGCAAAAAAGGCATTTGACAAAACCTGACACACATTCATGATAAAAAGCTTCAAACAAATTAGGAATGGAAAGGAACTTCCTCCATGAAAAAGAGCATACTTTAGTCTATTTGTGTTACTATAACAAAATACCATAAAATGGGTGGCTTATAAACAACAGACATTCATTTCTCATGTTCTGGAGGCTGGGAAGTCCAGGATCAGGGTGCCAGACAGCATGCTCAGGCTCTGGTGAAGGCCCTCTTCTGTACTGCAAACTGCTAACTTTTCACTGTGTCCTCAAAAGGTGAAACTAGGAAGCTCTGTGAGGTCTCTTTTATAAAGGCAGTAATCCCATTCATGAGCGCTCCATCCTCATGACTTAACCTCCCAAGGGCCCCACCTCCAAATGCCATCACACTGGGCATTAGGATTTCAACATAAACATTTTGAGGGGACACAAACATTCAAACCATAGCAAAGCATCTATGAAAATCTAGCTAACATGACACGTAATGGTAAAATACCGAATGCTTTCCCTCTGAGAGTAGGAACAAAACAAAAATGTCCACTCTCACCACTTCTATTCTATATCATACTAGATGTTCTAACCAGAACATTAAGCAAAGAAAAAAAAAAAACTAAAGGCATCCAGTTGGAAATAAAGAAGTAAACTGTCTTTATGTATAAAACTCCAAGCAATCTATTAAAAACTTCTAGAACTAGGAAGCCTTAAACAAGATCACAGCATATAATGTCCACATACATAAATCAAGTGAATTCCTATACACTAATAATGAACAGTCTGAAAATAATATTAAGAAAACAATTCCAG